CAATGCAGCTATAATGCCCATCCCGTGAAATGTTCCTTTACCATCAATTGTGAGAATGTTATGATCTACATTGTCAGCTGCGAACAACAAGGCCGTGTTCAACACATCAATATCCTCACCAAGCATGTTTGGTGCAGCACAATATGCAGCATTCATCTAAAACCTATGGATTTCTCCATAGGACGAACAGAACCCCATCTGACACAATGTATCTACAAGAAACCTAGACCTATTTAAGTGGTGCAATTGCACAGAAAGGCCGATTTGCAAAGGAGCAAGGACGGCTCGTGTCTTTAACAACAAACAAGGCTTTTGACACAATGCTAAGTGATTCTGGAATGTAATCAAGAGCAGGCTGGTGTTTGAGTTTCTCTGTAGTCCGTTACTGATCGGTAACGGGTAGCACATTTGTCTTGATGTCACTTTTTACGAGCCTTGCAGCTGTCTCAAGTATTGCTCTTTTCTGCGACTGTTCATCACCTTCTCGGTTTGTACGGTTAAAATATGATCTGAGGATTTGTGACGTTTTTTTCTCTCTTTGTCACTATGTCACCTAAACCTTCTCCTTCTGCAATATATATAGAATTACCATACCGTTTTTTCAGGTGACTTTTCATGTATTGATTATCATATGGGAGGGAATCGGTCTTAGACAAATATTCTTTCACATTTTACACCTTAGGTCAGAAACAGTCAGTTGTTGCCAATAACTGATTAACATATGGTAATTTCACTAATTGAGTCGGCTTCCTTGACCCCTAAATCTTAGGGTTAGACACAAAAAACACCGTTCCGGGTTGAGTATTAACTGAGATATAACCATTTTAAGCTCCCGGCAGCCATCTTGGACGCCATCCTGAAGTCAGACTTCACTAGATTTTGAGTATGTTTCCAAGCATGCCTGGAGGAATCAAAATCAATTGAAAAGCCTTTTGTATCAATTTTTTTATGGTTAGCTGTTATATTTTATATTTTGACCCAACTATATTGTTTTAACATTTCTATGATCTACCAGTTGGGTCTGAAAGATTTATTCATAATATAGGAGATGATTTTTCTCTGATTTCTTCCTTTTACAAATATCTCATAAATAGCAGTCAACAAATCATTTACTAAAATTTTCTTTTTTATCGGTGAAGCAACGTTCAAAGAAAACAAGCAACTATATCTTCCAATAAAAATGTATTTTTTTATATTGTTGTTATTATATAATATATACAATACGTTATATTATGGTTGCATTATAATTAACCCTAAATAAGTATGTGGTACATTATATGATTTTTTCAAGCTTGTATTATATTTATATACAATGAATGAATACAATGTATTTACTATACGTCAAATTCCCATGCAGGCTATTGTAATTGTTTGTGTTGCTTATTTGTTGTAGCTTGGACTTTGGAGATGCATGTACCAGTCACCGCACCTGGGACTGTAGTGAATTGCCAAGGCAGTGAACTGTCTCTTAGCGAATGTGAAATAGCTGTGAAGTGGATGACGTATACTAACTATACCGGAGTGACATGTGACATCGGTAAAATGAACATTTCTTTGCATTTTACACTGGTACATTATCACATTGTACCATATTCCAACATAAAAAATATAAATGTTGATATATGTTTATAGTATTTTATATTTATAGTGGATTGATGCTGACAACTGAAAATTGTCATTTTGACACATAACAGGCTTTTACAGTTTGCTGTTTTAAATCACAAATAATTACATAATGGCGATGTGATTCAGAATGTAAATAGCAACAATATTGAAATTGCAAATGATATATGCCATGTCGTTCGCTCGTTATGGTCTGACTGGTATATATATCCTCCATTATTCTAATGAAAGTGTATAATACAAATTTTATTTGAATCTATGATATCACAAACTAGATTCTTTTTTATTACAATAGTTGTACATTGACGTCTGTTTTATTATATAGATGATTGCAAACCAAATCCTTGTCAAAACGGTGGACTTTGTGAAGAAGGATTGAATAATTACACTTGTCATTGTGTTGGTTCATTTATGGGTCGTCAGTGTGAAGGTAAATATTAGGTAACTGTTCCTCGGGAATCACACATGAACCATTTGTAAACGTTTTGATACATTCCAATTTTATTTTTTTTCACAAAAACTTCTATTCAGAAAGATATCTCAAAATATTAACCCTGAAAGAATAATTCACAAGCTAAAGTGAAAACTGGCATTCACTTTATATATGTTTCCACCCGTTCGTAAATAACTGGCAGTTATCATCTCTCTCAACGAAACTAAAGGGCACTTTTAAGGCCGTGGTCATGTACAATCTGAGGTTTGACTTTAATCTAAACATACCACAACTTTAAATAATTTCAGTTTTCTGCAGCCCTGTCGAGGTTTTTTGTGTTGTCTACGTACGTGTGTTGTGTAGCTAATTTAGTGCAGAATGACAATAGATCATTGACTTGTAAATATCTCACCTGCAACAAGATCATATAAACAATCCCATTGAGCATTGTCACCAATATACGTATGGTTGCCGTGATTTTACATTTTTAAGGGCGCATTTTTCAAACAAATTTCAGAGGGATGAGATAGGGTGAGAGGGATGACTTTATTTGTGTACAGATATGGGTCATGTTCAATAATTTGAAAATAGTTTTTTTTTACATTTGAATCATGCAAAAACTGAGATTCATATCTTTTATCGATTGGTATCACGAGAATCCGTTTGAAACCGGTTAATCAACTTTTGTAATTATGAATGAAAATTTCGAAATGATTGTTTCCATGACAAACAATTTATATATCTACCAATATTTGTCGGAATGTCTTTGTTGACATTCCTTGTTTAAAGTTTTCTGAAATTGTCATACTTTGTTCATACTAAGTGAAAGTTTTTCCATGGAAACCATATCCGAATATCTACAAAAAATATATTTCAATGGTCAGTATTGAGGGCACCCCATTCTCTACTAATATCCAATGCATTGTTTTTGCAATTAAATTAATTCATAACTTCTTGACTCGTAAGTTAAAAATCTTGTTACAAAATTGCCGTTTCCATGTCAACCGCACGATATCTGTGCACAAATTGAATTGGTTTCTCGTTCATGAAAATCGACTGTGAATATGATGATGAATAGATTTCTACCTTAACAAAACGGGTTGACATGGTAGATCACGATCTTCTTCATATGTGTAGTAAGCGGAGATTATGCCAAACAAAAACACGGGTAAAGGAAGAATGTTGTAAACAAAGAATAATCACACTTCTCGTGAATGCGAAAAAAGATGCTACGATAAATTGAATGTCAATTGAATAAATTACACATTTAGGACATTTTCAACATAATACCTGAATGGCAGAACAACAAAGCATGTAATACATAACTATGCCTTCTTACAAATAAATATTTATAACTTTAGAAGCTTAAAACTGAAATGAACTTGCCACATATTCAATATTTGTCTGTAAGATACTAGATATGCACTACAATCTATTTTCTCATTAAACAATCATTGTGAAAAATAACATTTTAAATCGTCGCTAAGAAAGTGTTCAAATGTTCATCTAATGTATTATATAAATATCCTTTCAATAATTAATAGCATAAAGTAGAATATGTTCGAATGTCCAGCTATTTTATTTTCAATAAATATTATCCCCATGGTTCATAGCGCCAAGGAAAAAATGTGTTGATGTGCATCTATTTCATTACATAATTATTCTGCCTGTGGGTCATAGATTCAAGTAGGAAGATATTAAATTCTCACTTACTTCTTCACATAGATATTCTTTCGTGGTTCGTAGCGTCAACTGGGGAGTATTTTGATGTCCATATTCTATGACATAATTATGGTTCAAAGCAGCAAGTAAAACGTGTTTAAATGTCCATATATATTATCACATAATTATTCTGTCTATGGTTCAAAGCGTCAAGTAGAAAATGTTGAAATGTCCATCAATTTCGTAACATAATTATGCTTCAAATCGTCAAGTATGAGGTGTTTAAATGACTAGCTATTTCCATACCTAAATATTCCGTCTATGACTCAAACTTAAAGTAGAAATTGTTTAAATGTCCATTTATTTCATTACATAAATATTTATGTCTATAGCTCATTGCATCAAGTAGAAAGTTTTAAATAACTATCTATTTCATTACATAGATATTCTGTTTAGTGTTCATAACATCAATTACTAAGTGATAAATGTCAATAAATGTCATTGCATAATTATTTTCCCTGTGTATTATATCACAAAATGGAAAGTAATTTTATGTCCATCTCTTTCATTACCTAGTTTTTATATTTTATATATTTTATTTCATTAATTGACTTATCCATCTATTCCATTAAATCATGTTCTTTCCATGACATCAAATAGGAAAAGGTTTCACTCTTTCCAATATGTACAAAGTTCTCATACATTTGGTGCTTCTTTGATGATTTGTGATTTGCGTAGACGTGGTTTTAATGTTAAAATATTCACATTGATATGGTTTTTATTGAAAAATT